GAGTAAAAACCTCACTTCTTCGGATGCATCCGAAGAAGTGAGGTTTTTACTCACGAAAGCTTATGCCCAAATAAATCTGTTAGTCTTTAAGGTGCCACCAGACTCCTTGTTGGTTTTGCATCTGTAACTTTCACTCTATGCATCCGAAGAAGTGAGGTTTTTACCCACGAAAGCTGATGCCCAAATAAATCTGTTAGTCTTTAAGGTGCCACCAGATTCCTTGTTGTTCAGGTAATTGTTTGAGAGAGGAGGGCAGATGGGGACAGGGTGGGAGTGTGGCCTATTGGGCAAAGGAGAGGCTTGGATTTCAATGTGTGTCAGGACTCCTGGGTTCTGATCATGCTGTAAATTGTACGGGCTCTGGCCCTACTGTCTTCAGCAGGAGTTGCATGCAAATGGCTGATGGGATAATTGGACCCTTGGATGCTCTGCCACTGGCTCACTCTTTGCCTCAGTTTCCCTCCTTTACCTCCTCCCGCGGGAACACGAGGCTTAATTCGCTGACATGGGCAGGGCTTTGAGCGCCTTGGGTGGAAGGCTCTATAGAAGCCAGCCTGCAGACGCTGGCTCACAGTGGATATTATCAGATTTCCCTCCCGCTCTCCAGGATATTGGCTGTAGATCCCCCTGGGGTGGAGTGGAGGAGGCAGGGAGTCTGGGCTGTGGATGGAGCTCCTGTTGAAGGAAGGTGACTGGAGGGCAGGTCAGCCCAGACGCTGAGATAGCAGAAACTTTATTCGGAAGCCCTAGGGAAAGAGCAGGATGGAGAAGGAAGCAATTGCCCTTGGGGTCGACAGGGCTGGCCCCCAGCATCCCTGTGCAGCAGGTGGAGGCACTGGGATGGGTTGAGGGTTGTTGGGGAGGGGGGGTTGTTGGTGTTTTAGCAGGAGGGGGGTGGCTATCAGCAAGGAGTCAGGGGGTGTAGAACTGCAGGTCCTAAGCCACTGTCCAGGATGTTCCCCTGGGCTGGGTGGGGCACCGGTGCCTTGCCCACCCTTCTCTCTGCTGTCCTAGTGGTAGCGCGAAGAGGCGTCCAGCAGAGCTGGGTGTGTTTCCCCAGCCCCCTTCCCCATGTGGCCACATGCGTTCTTGGCTCGCGGGCCCAACTCCCCGTCTGTTTCAGGAACTTGTGACCTAGCATATCCCTCGCTTATTTATGGCTGTGAGTCTTTTCCATAGCAACCCTCACATGACGCCGCAGAGCGAGGGAGGGGGAAATGCCAGGGGAGAGAAACAATGAGAGATGGAGAGAAAGAAATAGAGGAAGAGTCGTGCTGAGGAAGGGCGAGGGGGAAAGGGGGGGATGAAATGCTGGGAGGGAGGGAGAGCGAACGGGGGGGGGATGAGGAAGGGAGGAGAAGAGAGTGAGAAGGTGAGAGTGGGAGAAGGAAGGAAGAGAAGTGCATGAGCCATGCATTATGTCCCCCCTCCCCCATCTCTCTCAGGCCGTAGCTCTCTGGAGGAGCAGGAGGGGCTGCTCCTGCCCTGGCCCCTTGCCCACAGGCTGCTGCAAACTAACATGCTTGGCTGCTGTGAAAAGTCAAACCCCGGATTTCCTGAAGTGGGGGGAGCCGGCCTCCTAAATCACCCATGTCAGCCCAGCTTTGTGCACTGAGAACCTCCTGTCCCCAACACTCCCCACCCCCCCCTCCTATATTGTGCTCTAAAAGGTTACTGTGCTGGCAGTGCTCAACGCTGCTCTGTTCTCTAATCCTCTTCTGTGTCTATCCCGCAGGCTGGGGAGAGCCTGGGACATCTTACTTGCCAGTCCCTGCCTGGGCACCACCCTGCTCTGCTAGAGGAGCTGGGAATCTGGTGCACTTTCCCCAACCTCCCCAAAACCTTTCTAGGCGTCGGTAGGTTAAAGTGGCCAAACGCAGTGATCTAGCTCTCTAGCACCTTTTGCATTCTGGGTTGACTGCGTGAGTGAGAAGAGCTTATTGAAGGAAAACTAATGTTCAGGGATTTTTATTATTTGATTATTATTACGATTATTAATTATGATGATGATGATTGGTTATTATTATTATTTGTATCCAGGATCCCAATTGTTTTAGGTGCTGCACAAACACAGAGGAAAAAGATGCTCCCTGCCCCCAAAGAGCCCACAATCTGAGTAAAAGCAGGCTAACAGAGTTTTGCATTTATTTCTGAGCATGGTAAAGCCGGGGGCTCTCGTATCTTGTGGCAGTGAGTTGCATAGTCTGGATCCAGCACCTGTCAAGGTTCTGTTTCCTGCACGTGAGTCTCCCCCACTGGTTGAGTGTCACAGCTCCAGTGGACTGGGGCTGCTGTGGAAGGATGTTCCAGTGGTTTGGTCACTAGTCTAGGACTTGGGCGGGGTATAGGTTTAATTCCCTGCTCTGCCACAGATTTCCTGCGTGACCTTGGACAAATTGCTTAGTCTTTCTGTGCCTCAGTTCCCCACCTGTACAATGGGGATATTAGTGCTACCCTGCCTCCCAGGGGTGTGTGAAGGTAAACACCTTTCAGAGTGGGGAGTGCTTGGCGATATCCTGCTGAAAAGAGCTGGGTGTTACTCTTCGAGGGAGGCTGTGGTCATGGGGGAAGAGGCATCTCTCAGGTAGCCAGTGGCAGGCTTTGAATGTCAGGGGAGAGCTCTTGGGCTGGGCTCTATGTTTGCTAGGCAGCCGGTGCAGCTCCTGGCACTCCTGGGCCATGTGGCTAAGCAGACAGGCTGCTATAGTTTTCTCAGGGCATGTGCCTTCATACTTACATAGAATAAAGTCTGGAGGTCACCAATCGTCTCTGTCTCAGAGGACAGGGCATAAGCCTCTGGTCAGCTGCGAAGGGTAATGGGCACCAACAGCACCGAGGAGCCCAAAGGGGTCCCAAGGCTGCAGATTGGCTGAATCTGAGAGTTGAAGGCTCAGTAATGGGGGTTGCTTGAGGAGAAGGCATGTTCTTCCAGGTGCTTCCCCCTTCCCACCATCATCACCTCCGTCTTGCCTGGTCTCAGCATTAGCCAAGTGCTCTGGGTCCTGCCCAGTGCTGATCTCAGCCCACTGCTGGGAGAGCGGGCGACGGAATTGTGTACCTTGGAGGCAAGGAGCCACAGGGCTGGGTAATGCTGGCACTGCAGCCCGGGCTGGCTCACCAGCTTTCCGGATGTCTTCACGCAGACATGGGCTCTGGAGAGAACTGGGCATTGCCTTAGCTTTCAATTCACACTCCCACCTCCCGCGGATTTGGCTAGCACTTGGTCAAACCCATCAGCACCATAACTCAGGGCTGTGCATGGGCCAGCCAGCCCCAACGCTCACAGCCCCGTGCTGCTCTACCCAGCTTTGCTTGGCTTTCAGCTGTTCCTTTTCAGCAACCAGTCTCAGTGCCCAGTCCCTATGGTGCTGGGGGATGGATGGAATCAGTTTGCTCCCTGGTGCAGAGAGACCTGGATCTCAGCCCCCGCTGGCTCACAGCTGGCCTGTGTGAGAATCCCAAACATGGGTAGGATCCAGCCTTATCTCTGATGGCACCCGCAAGCAGCCAGCACGTGTGTACTCAGACTGCCTGCCAAGGAGAGCCCAAGTGGCTGGGATCACTGGCCCAGGGAGATTGGTGGTTGCTATGGAGAGAAAGGCTGCTGATTTGGGCGTTGGCACTGCTGTCTGCTCCAGATAAGCATGTTCTGGTGAAGTGCCCTGAAAGGGTGGGGTCTAGGCCACGGGAGCTGAAGGCAGTAGGTGAAAGGGACAGATTCTCGGGACAGCTACAGCTCTGCCTGCCTCCTCCTCTAGGCCTCTCGTTTCTGTCTGCCTGCCTCCTTCTCTTCATCGACAGTGTGTCAGACTCTCCTGTCTGTCTAATCATCACCATGCACATCCTTCTCTCCAGGTATCCCTCTGACTCATTCTCTCTTTTCGTCTGTCTCTAATCTAGCTGCATGTCCCTTCCTTGGTGCATCTCCCCTTCTGTATGTCTGTAGTCCTGTTCTTCCTCTCTCCATCTGTCTGGCCATATATATATATGTCCATTTGGGGCATGGGCACAGTGAATTGGCGGATGACTCAGGGTGCATGCAGAGCCCAGTCGCGCCTTGTATTGATCTGTTGCTGGCTGGCCAGCAAGTGGGTGGTTTGAAAGGCGTGCGGCCCAGATGCTGTTATTGCACAAGGGAGAGTCTGAAATGTTCCTAAGCAGTTGCCATGTCTCCGAAGGAGCTCACCTTTCCCTCGATGGGAAGCGGCTGTTGGCTGCTTCCAGCCAGGACCTAGTTAAGGGTCCCAGGGGACCCAGGGAGGGAGTGAACCCCTGGGCAAGGGCATGGGGAATGGGCCCGATGGGAGCTGGCAGCTGCAGGCACATGGGGGGCAGCCGAGGATGGAGAGCAATGTTCTCAGTGATTATTTTGGATAATGTGATTATCATCTAAAAATACCCACGGGTCTGCCTGTCGGTGAGGGCCAAGCAGCTGCTTTTGACGGCTTTGTCAAAACGTTCCAAAACGTTCCAACTCAGCCAGATGTGACTCCCAGCACAGATCGTTGCCTGGCCCGAGCAGTGAGTGGGGGTGAGGTGATCCCAGCCTGCATGCAGCCTCCTCTGATGCTCCCCAGCATCGCTCACTGCTCCCAACATGCTGATGCTTCCCTGGGCTCCCTTCCTCACCCTGATTTCCTTCCTGCTACGCTCCCTGGCCCATAAGAATACCTGTCATCACACACTGGGATAGTGACTCGTCCCCAATTTTTGTGCCAGACACGGACCACCTGGGACATGTTACTCCAAAGGCTGTGCCCTGCACTCAGAACATCCAGGGAGGAGCACTGGGCAGAGCATTCTGCAACTCACATGGAATTAGATGCGGTGTTACACTGAGGTGTGTGACGTACCACTGACTTGCACGGATCACCCCAGTGTGTGCGTGGGACATGGCTTAATGTGGATCAACTTCAGTTGATAAGTGGCTAACCAGGGATTCTCCACAGTGGATACCTGGGATGTGGCTTCGTGTAGATCTTTACCAGTGAATACGCAGGATGGGGCTTTATGTGGATTGTCCCAAGTGGATATGCAGGACATGGTCTCATGTGGATTGTCCCGAGTGGCTACATGGGATGTGGCTTCACGTGGTTTGTTCTTATTGAATACATGGGATGTGGCTTTACGCGGATCATCCCCAGTGGATACGCAGGACATAGTTTCCTGTGGGTCATCCCCAGTAAAAACATGAGACGTGGCTTCACGTGGATTATCCTTAGTGCATATGTGGGACGTGGCTTCAAGTGGATTGTTCTCATTGAACACATGGGGAGCTGCTTCGTATGGATTGTCCCCAGTGGGTACATGGGAGGTGACTTCACATGGAGATCATTCCCGTTGAATACATGGGACGTGGCTTCATGTGGATCATCCCCAGTGAATGTGGCTTGATGTGAATCTGCTTCATACACTACGTAGGACCCAGCTGATAGTTAGGTTGGGTATGGTGTAACTAAACAGGGTGTGAAATGTGCTTACGTCACCTGCTCCCGTCCTGTGGATTTCCAAATATGTGCGTGTGAAATGTGCTTACGTCACCTGCTCCCGTCCTGTGGATTTCCAAATATACTACTTGCTGCCAGGGATCAGGAGAACGTGGGCTCATCCAGGGGAGTGGTACAACGGACTGGGAAATCCGTGAGATTGACACTCAACAAGGATCTGGCCAGGACATTTGTGGTTCCTGGGATTCCAGTGCACGGTGTGTCCCCTTGCAACAGGCGTCAGCTTCCACCTGAGCCCTAATCCCATTTACAGCGGGCAGCCTGTGATTTCCAAGGGCTCTCCTTATCTGCTAACACCAAATCCCAGTGTCAGGAGGAGCAGGGTCTCTGCTGAAGCCATTCCCAGGGAGTCAGGGACTCCACCCCTGGCTTTGCCTACAGCGGTGCCTGTGGAAAGTCTGAGCTCATGTATCCTGTGCTAGTCAGCTACTCAGCCAGCCTGGTCCCTACAATACATCGTTATCTAGCGTCCCTCTTGCTCCCTGCTGTGCAGGACTGCCGCACAGAGAGAAAGAGGCTTTCACAGGCAGACGAAATAGTCCTTTGCCCTTCCTGGCGCCGTCCATTGAGGATTTCGATGCACTTTGCAGGCTCTCATGAATTAAGGCTCACAGCCCCATCCCTGGGAAACATCCATCCCCATTTTATAGATGGGAATCCCAGACACAGAGAGGGTCTGGGTGCAGCCCCTGGGAAGGGGAGAAGAAGTGGGGCTGGATTTCTGTGCCCACCTGGAATGGGCTCTGGGTGTGGCTGCCTGGCCAGAGGAGAGCCAGAGCTGCATTTCGGCCTCTGCTGGCCTGGATTCTGGCAACACAGCACCAAACCAAAGGTTATTTGGAGTGCGTTTCTGGCCCAGAGGCGGAGAGATTCCCAGTGAGACTGATGAGCCCTGAGGGTGACTGTGTCTCCTGGAAGAGAGATCAGGGTGACATATCACACTAGGTTGATTTCCTGGGACTGGAGGATGCTCAGCCTTTGGGGGGACCTTAGTCCCTCCCCTCTTCCATTTCTAGAGGCAATGGCTTAGTATTATAAGCCTCAGGTTTGAAACTCCAGGGCTCCTCAGAATCAAAGGCTAAAAGCCCAGCAGAGCCACTTCAGCTTTTCAGTATTCCATAGTAAAAACCCGATGAGTTCCATGAACTTGTTGCATGTGGGCCTCTCCTGGAACAATGAGCTCCTGTGCAGGTTTTCAAGATTCTCATTATACAGCGGTATAATGCACCTTGGTCCCAGATAGCACTGCTGTGCAGTGAGCTGCATGTCACCCCTCCAGCCCACCCCACCCCAGAGGTGGCCGCGTCTCAGAGTCCCATCAGGGTGAAAGCTGCTATGGAAACAGAAGAGATGGACTCAGTGCAAGACAGTGTAGACACTCCCCTTTCGGAGTATGAGGATTGTTTGCTCTCTCCCCACTCCTGCCCTAAGGGAGAATTTCAGAGAAAAGCAAGAAACCTGTACAAAAAAGGAAAAGAGGGGAATACAATCCCTCCTCCCACCCCACCCCACCCCACCCCACCCCACCCCACCCCACCCCAGTCCTTTCTGTGCTGGGTTCTTTTCCTTCCCAGAAGTGCGCGGCTGCTTGTTAGCGCTCCAGGGCCGTACGCTAAGTGCAGCCAGACTGCTGCCCTGGCTTCCCACCGGGGCCTTCTCAACCCAGCGTGCTGGCTGGGACAAAAGGTTTAATTAACTCTGCTCTGATTGTCAGCGCCAGGTCAACAATCGCCTGCAATAACAGGCCTCGGAGCTGGGCCCCGGCACAGGACCACCTGCCCAAGGCAGGGCGGGGGAGACAAACTCCTGCTGAGGAAAAGCCAGACGGAGCGGAGCCTGTTCGACTCCGCTGGGCTGAGGGAGGCCAAGGCCTCTGAACAACAAACCCATTGTCCCCCTGGCTGGAGGGCAGGACTTAGCTACAGGGCTTAGCTACAGCATCAGTGGCTGGGGATGGCAGGTGAACAGGCCTCCTGGGTGGCATGCTTCAGGTGGAATTGCTGGGGGAGTCTCGTCCAGACTGTCAGACAAGCGCCAGTCCATCCCAAGCCATGGCTGGGAGGAGGACCAGCCCCTGAGGGGTCTTGAAATGTCTTGGACTGCTCCACGCCTGTTATAAACACCCGTCGTGAGGGAAAGGTGAAGCTCCCCTGACCTGTTGTCAGGGAAACTGAGGCAAGGCCTGTGCTTGTGCTGATTGGCTCAGAGCATGGAAAGAGCTTCATTCTCATGACCTCTCAGCATCGGGCCCTGCGCAATTTTGGATAATCTGGGCCCAGGCGTCCAGAGCTCCGTGTAACCAGAATGAACCCTCACAAGCCCCTGCGCTAGGTCCGTGGAATCGTGGGGAAATCGAGGCATGGAAGGAAAGAGGCCACTGATTTTGGGTGCCTCAGGGTTTCACCAAACAGCTTCCGAGGTTACTGCCGAAAAGGTTGACCTGCTCCGGGTCACCCCACAAACCAGTGTCAAAGGCCCCAGGGGGATCCTGGTCCCTTTGCTTAGGCCACAGGACTCTTTTCATGTGTCCTCTGATAGCTGTAGAATTGAGCTTGGTTTGGATGCTGGTTCCCAGAGTTTGGAGGACAGTGCTGGATAAAGGTTCCTCACTCTGGTCCCTAGCAGGGCCCACTGATCCCTCCCTCCCGGATCCTCCGCGGCTTGTGGCTGCTCTGAAGGCCAAAGCAGATGGAACCCAGGAAAGATGGAGCATATCGAGTCTCTCCCTTAGAGGTGGCACATGCCCCTTCTCCCCTGCTGTGAGCACTGACAGACTGGCAGCCTCTTGCACCCTGGGGGGCGAGGAGCGGGGAAGTTGGAGATGTGTGTAATAACTGGGCAAATCACCCCCCGCCACAGCCTGCAACACAGGGAGACTAGAGACTGCTCCGGAGTTGGATTACTCTGTTCCCCGCTCGCCCGGCCCAGTGAGACCAGGCCGCGACTGCAAGGATGTGTTTTCCAGGCAGTGGTTTGGGGGGGTGGGGGGGATATTGATCAGAGATGTCTCCGGCTGGCAAGTGCATCTGGAGGGCAAGGCTTGGGTTTCAGATCTCAGGACAGAGAGCAGCTCGGGGAGAGGGGGGCTGCAGAGGTCTGGTACTTGGAGACGCCACTTGTGGAGCTGATAAGGTTGTGGCTGGGAGCGGGGCTGCCACATAGCTCTGTCATGTACTGCCTCCCCATGTGAGAGGTGCCCAAATGGTGGGGAGGGTGCATCAGCACTCAGAGATGCCGGGGTGATGAACTGCCTGGCCCGGAGGTGCCGGGGCGATGAACTGCCAGGTCCGGAGGTGCCGGGGCTCAGCCCTGGCAAGCTCTGGCACAAATTAAACACTGCCCTGAAGGGCCCCGCCCTCCAGAAGCGCAGGCTGCCCCACGGCTGCGGAATGGGCTGATCTGCTCCCCAGCTGTCTGTCCACTGCCCCAGGGACTTCCTGGAAAGCCCTTGTTGACCGGACTTTATAGTCGGAGGTGGGGAGAGCTGGGCAGGGCCGGGTAGAGAGAGTGAGCATGTCTGTGACATTGCTGAGAGCTTGGGAGGCGTCCAAATGCACTCTCTGTCACTTCCCATTGTTCCGAGAACAATGGCTCAAAACAAGTGCAATGATCCCACCGCTCAGTGCATGGAAAGACTCAGCAGTGGAGGGTCCTGCCTGGCTGGGAGCCCAACTGCTGAGATCACTGCAGGCTCACCGGCACTGCCAGGTCCTCCCTGCCCATGCCCTGAAGCGGTAGAGCCATCGCTCGGTGTCCTGGGCTCTGAGCAGGCTGCGTGTGCTCCAAGCCATACCATCTCCCCAGACCCTTGGTTCTGGGCAGGCGGCGCGTATTAGCTCAAAACCGGGGCTAACTAACAAAATGTAACTGTAAATGGGGACTCATTATTGAGCAGGTGTGTTTCCAGTGGGGTCCTGCAGGGATCGATGTGTTCTTGGCCCTACACTATTTAACATCTTTATCCATGGCCTGGAAGAAAACCTAAAATCATCCCTGATAAAGTTTGCATATGACACAAAGATTGGGAGAGTGGTAAATAACGAAGAGGACGGGTCACTGATACGGGGCAATCTAGATTGCTCGGTAAGCTGGGCGCAAGCAAACAATATGTGTTTCAAAAATGGAACTGTCTACATCTGGGAACAGTGTGCCACTCCGCCATGCCATGTGGGAGACTCGGGCGACATTCCTGCAGGAAGGGGTTCCCACCCTGGGCCACGCAGGACGCTGGCTAGCTCCCCAGTTCAGGTCTCTTGCTCCCTGGGTGGGGAGCGCTGCCTGCTTTAGGGGAGGGGAAGCTTGTCCCTGCTTAATAGCACCTGCTCTGGCCATTTAAGAAGCTACACTAGCTCCCAAGGGAACCCCATGCAGGGAGGGTGCTGCTCAGCTGGTGGGGGAAGCAGGGGTCTGAGGGCGGCAGAGGTTTCAGTTTCCCCTCATCTGACATGTGGTTCATGTCCATCTCCCCGGGTGTCTGCGTCCAAGCTGCCCTGGCTGCTGAGACCGGACCGTGGGAGAGGCAGTGTGTGGGTGGGTGTGAAGGGGGGATCAGCACGCCATGTCTGGTATGTGGAAGGATCTCACCTCTCCCCATCTCTATCCCCCATTGCAGAGGGAGCATCTGACCCACAGCCCAGCCTAGGAGCCCAAAGGGATGTGGAAACACAGAATCACTGGTACGTAAACCCCTCATCAGCATCTTCCCGCCCTCCAGGAGAGATGGGCCAAATCCAGAGTTGTATATCCAGCTCTCCCAAGCCCTCAGGCTCAGGAGACAGTGGGGCCCAGACAGAACCGCCCTGGTTCCATCTCCACAAGCCTCATTCCCCCACCCCATTCCCCTTCCCAGCTTTTCCCCTCTCCACTGGGCAACCCCCTGCTGAGCCTGCCGATGAATATTTCAGAGCCCTGCCGTGTGCACCTCACTTTGCATTAGCATCAGACGCCTGAAGGCAGCCAGCTCGGCCCAGTAATGGGGCGAGACGAGAAGCTCAGGGGAGCCGGGGGGGCTGCAGATCCAAGAAGCTGAGAACCAGACATTGCTCAGTGGCTGCATACAGAGGCTCCCCTCCCACTCCCTGATGGGTTTGATCTGAATCTCTCAGAGCCTTGATTCCTCCCCATGTACGCACGGTCCTGGCTCTCCCTCCTTTATTCCTCCATATCCGACCCACTGTGGCAGTGTGCCAGATGGACCAGCCCTCTTGAGACGGGAGCAAAGGTCTAAGCGGCAGCTTCACTCAAACAGATCCGCTAGGTCAAGCCCTGGCATCAGCTTTGTGCCACGATTGGGCAGAGGGGCGTCAGGCTGGGCGCCCCCCCCCGAGCTGTTGCCAGGACCCAGGGGGGGCAGGCAGCTCACCCTTTGAGACCCTAGCAGCAGGATGCCTTTGCCCAGGCTGATTGCTGCTAACGAACCTTCCTCCTTCACCCCCCTGCAGGACTCTGTGGATGACCAAGCCCTTCCCGCAGGCGACGGAATGGAAAGGTTACAGAAGGTAAATGAGCTGAGTTAGACTCTTCAGGCCCCCGCTTTGCAACCACCCCGGACACCCTGGTCAAGGCATGGGGAGGTCGGTGTGCTGGATGGCCCTGTATTGGAATGCAGGAGGCTTTCGCCTCCAGGGGGCCCATCTCTGTTTGGGGGCCTCGTGCCACTAACTGGTGGGTCTCAGTTTGCCCACTAGCAGACAGATGTCCACAGCACCAGCAGGCCCTGTAGTTGGCAATCTCTACAGAGAGATTAAGGGCCCCTCCTGCTGCTGCAGGGAATGCCCAGATGCACTGGCAGAGGGCAAGGGAGCCAGCACTATACCTGCTCTGAGGGGGTGCAGTGGCAGGAGAGAACCTGGGAGCATCCCCTGCCGAGTGAGGGGCAGGTGTCAGTTTCTGAGCAGGACAAGGGGTGAGCTGGCAAAGGCCGTGCTGGGCCCTTCTGCACTCAGCACTGCAAGGGCCACACAATTGCATGCTGTTAATTGCAATCACTGGATGCTTCTGAGGAGCTGGGGCATGCAGTTGATGTTACCGGAGAGCAAAGGAGCAGGGTCTATTCTTCACCCATCTCCGTGCTCTGTCCTAGGGGCTCCGCCCCTTGCTAACTGGAGTTTGGGCAGACAGCACCACCTAGTGCTTACTGCAGCTCTCATGGACACATCTGCTGAAGCTGCTGGCAGTGCCCACTTGGGCACAGCACTGTCCCCTGCCCCAACAACATGACCCCCATTTGGGCTGCGGGAGTTGGAGACTTAGCTGTGCTGTATGGGGCAGGAGCTGCAGATTTCCCTCAACTTGCGTGGCAACTCCTGACCTGGACCGGTTGAGTTTTAATTTCTAGTTGACCGTGATTTGTGTTTTCGGAGGAGCTGCAGTTCATAGCCATTCTCCACATTAAAGATGAATTGTTCCCTGAATCCCAACCTTCCCCACACACCCCATGAGTCTTAGGAACACAGGGACTGCCAGATTGGATCCAGACCTGTGCTCCATTTAGCCCAGTATCTGCCTCTGACAGTGGCCAGCACCAGCTGCTTCAGAGGAAGGGGAAAGAAACCCCAGGGGGCAATTATGGAATAACCTCCCTACAAGGGAAGATTGCCCGACTGTCAACAATTAGAGGTTGGTTTGTGCCCTAAAGCAGGAGGGTGTTTGTATCCCCCCTATTTTCTCCTGTCTAATGTAACCGGGGGTGTTCTTGTGACTCATATACAGCTCCAAGCCTTTTTGAATGCTGTTGTGCTCTTGGCCTTGATAGTATCTGGTGGCAGTGAGTTCCAGAGGTTAACAGCCCCCCCCCCCCATATCCTCAGTCAAACCTGAGAGCATGTGTAGGCAAGAGAATGCCAAGGAATGGGGATATCAGAGGGCTGATGTCCTTCTGGATTTCCTAGGTCTTGCTCTGAGATCAAGGCCCTCCTCTCTGGGAGTCAGTTCCACTGATCTCCAGCCCTTCATACAGGTGCAGCGGTGGGAACACACATACACACACAGGTACACAAGCACATTTGCACATGCACACACACACAAAATCCGGGTGCAGGTGCGCCCGCACACACACTATTCTCAGCATCATGGTCTTTCCCCTCCAAAGCCATATCTAGCCAAATAGTGCTAAACTGACATATCAAAACGGCACACCCATATAATATCCAGCTAGGCTGGGAGGGGCTGTTGGGTTTGGTACTGTAATTCCCACCTGCAAGGGAGTGAGGCTCATCAGATGACTGCTTCCCTTGGCATTGCTGCCTCTCTGTGTGCCTCTCAGGGGGAACTTAGCTGGGTTTTCTCTTGCCTTGCCCTGTCGGCTGCATTGACGAAGCCAGCAGCGGAGCATGAAACTCACAGAAGTCTCTCCCTCCTTTCCAGCAATCTTTGACCTCCCCTGGGAGCGTCTGTTCCTCCCGCGGGTCCAGCGTCCCAGGATCACCCTCCAGCATTGTGGTGAGTGCTGTTCATGTCACATCTCCCTTTTGGAGGGTCTCTAAAGCACCCAAGCTCCGTGTGGGCAGCGATCAGAGCAAGGTAATGGGAATCAGGACTCCTGGGTCCTGTTCCTCGCTCTGGGAGAGGTGTACGGTTTAGTGTTTAGAGCAAGGGAACTCAGGACTCCTGGGTTCTCTTCCTCACTCTGGGGAGGTGTCTGGGCTAGTGCTTAAGTAAGAGAATGGGAGTCAGGTGTCCTGGATTCTAATCCGGGCTCTGACCTGCTGTGTGACCTTGGGCAAGTCCCTTCCCCTTTTCTGGGCCTGTGTTTCTCCCTCTCTGAGGAGAATAATCCCTTCCCAATTCCCAGATGGGCTGGGAGGCCTCAGCTCCATGCGGGAAAGAGTCGTGGGCTCTGCCCTGCACTGGGAGAAGCTCAGACACCTGCTTGAGGCTTTTCTGGTTGAGAAGGAGCTTTTCCTCCTTCACAGGCCAGAATGGACAATGAGGTTCTGGGCTACAAGGACCTGGCGGCCATTCCCAAGGACAAGGCGATCCTGGACATCGAGCGCCCTGACTTAATGATCTATGAGCCCCATTTCACCTACTCCCTCATGGAGCACGTGGAATTGCCGAGGAGCCGAGAGGTGAGGGTGTCTTGGGTGGGGCATGGTCCTCTGTGTTCGTTCCCTCTCTGCCAAAACCCCATCAATGGCTGAGCCAATGTAAGCTCTGCGGGCAGCTCCCATCCGGCTAAGGGGAGATGCTTGCACCTCGCTGGGATGCAGGACAGGGATGTACCAGAAATCTTTACTGCGTATCCCAGTTGTTGCAGGATGGGTCAAGTAAATGGCATCTGTCTCTCTCTGCTTCCTCCCACAGCGGTCCCTGTCCCCCAAATCCATCTCTCCTCCTCCTTCTCCAGAAGTGAGTACTGCCACACCTTGCCTCCTGCTTATTTCTCCACAGGCATCTCTTGCTCACAGGCAACAGAAACCCACAGAGCTTGAGGTCCAACCAGCCTCCACCACAATGTGCCCTGTATTTTAACCATTGTGCTCTCACTCCTATCATGAGCACTAGGGAGACTGGGGGCGGACGGGCGGACTCTGGGGGGTCTACACTGCATTGAAACCTGAGGCTATGGGACTAACCCCAGCCATGCTAATACGTCCATATTGCACTGTGCAGACCTTCTGACTTGGGTCTGCTGCTTGAGCTGCGTCCACACTGCTCAATGACAGGGCTTGGACTGGACTCAGGCTCGGAACCACCCCCCGAGTAGGGTCCTAGGAGTGCAGACAGATTTGTGTGTGGACGGAAGGGGGCTTGGGCTCAAACCTGGGCTTAGTGGCTGGTGTAGACATACCCTGGGAAAGCCTTTGCAGGGGGAAGGCGTTACTGGGACAGGTGTCAGGATTGGTGCCTGATGCTGCCTGGCTGGCATACCAATGGATGAGTGGATCCAACTTTTCCAAAGGCTACTTCCCCACTGGCTCATCAAATAGCTCCTCCACTGTCCACACGCCGTGGCTGTGTCTTGAGCATCCGCACTACTGGCTGAGGTGCGATCAGCTAGCCCAGGAGCTCAGCGGAGTCAGAATCCAGGGGCTTAGGTTGCACTTGGACCCTGATCGAACAAGAGAGTTTTAGAGGCTGGATTAAACTAACGAGCCCTGTGAAAGATGAGGGAGATGGACAGCTGGACTTCCAGTATGCCTTGGGGCCAGCTTCACCATGTCTCACCATTCCAAGCACTGTCAGCCTTTCCTGAGAGATCCGGGAGAGTTTTCCCTCCCAAGGGATGGGACTGAACTTTTAGATGCAGTTTGGGCTTGGCAGTTAGGTCTCTGTCTGAGCAGGCAGCATGGGCCATTGTCAGAGACAGGCTGCATGGGGTGCTGGTCTGTCCCAGGGCAGCAGCTGCTCTGACACTGGCTCTGTTCACAGGTCATCCGGGATGGGATGGAAAACAAGTCCCTCGGAAGTGCCTCCCAGGCAGCTAGTCGCCGGACCAGCAGCACAGCCTGGAGCGGAATGCACCACTTCCACCGACCTGGTACGGCCCACACCCTGCCTGGGGCTCTCCAGGGCTCCCCGCATGGGTGCGAGGGGAGCAGAACCCCAACTTCAGGGCCACACACCACACTGAAACCCTAACCAGAGACCCAAGACCAGACCCTGCTCCCTGCACTCCCACCCTCCCTGCTCCTACTCGGGTGCCTTCCCCCCTCCACCAGCCTGAGTCAGGTGAGCTTGGAGCCAGCACCTGAACCCAACTGGAGGAATGGGACCCACTAGTCCTTCCTCCTGGACCCCACCAGCATGGAGCAGGGTGAGCGCTGTTCCGTATACCCATAGAGCAGGGACAGCAGGAGGGCAAGCCTCCCCCATCAGTGGGTCCCCACCTCCTCTAGGAGTGAGACAGAAGCTCAGCTGTGCCAGTGGCAGTGGTGGCATTTCTCACCCTCCTGTTCCCGTCCCCTCCTCCAGATACCAACACCATGGATCTGAACATATACAAGAAGCCGCCAATCTACAAGCAGAGAGGTGAGTGCGGCTGCTTCCCCACCCCGGCCTTTGGGTGCTGGGTTGGGATATTTGGGGGAGTGGGCGCAAGGAGACGGGGAAGCCAGACCTCAATTTTCTATCCCTCTGTCTATTACAGAGCCCTCGACGGGAGCCCCACAGAGCAAGCACATGATAGAAGACCAGATCATTGAGTGCTCCAAGTTCCCAGCAGCCCAGGCCCCGGACCCCAACCAGCCAGCCAAGATCGAGACAGATTATTGGCCCTGCCCTCCCTCCCTGGCAGTCGTAGGTAGGTGATGGCAGAGTGTTTTACCTGCAGCTGGGCGACTCCTATCAGCCCCCCCTCTTCCCCAAGCTGAGCGGGGTCAGTACTGGGATGGGAAACCACCAAGGAAAGCTGAAGTGTTTCTCTGAGTCAGCATCGATGCCCCATTATGGTGACTGAGAGGGCTGGGCAGATGGGACATACAGCCAGGGCCCTGACCGCTTGTGGTCATGAAAGATCCCCTGGCACGTTTTGCTAGCCCTGGTGCTGGGGTGATGCATTCTGCCTCCCTGAATTTCCCCAGCAGGGAAAGGATCCAGCCGCCCTGTGTCTCTTTGCCCCCTTGATTTGGCGTCTTGCTCTTGCCCTGTACCCTGACGCCCTCTTTGGGTCCCCAGAGAAGGAGTGGAGGCAGCGGATGGCCTCCAAGAAAGGCATGGAAGAAGAAGAGGATCTCACGGAGGAAATGACTAACCTGCGTGAACTACAGAAACAGGAGCTGAGTAAGGTAGGATGCGCTTGGCGGTGCGGGGGCTCCAGGAAGGCTGAGTCCTGGACCAGGCTGGGACTGGAGGGGGCTCCAGCTTGGAGGATGCTGGGATTCGATGGGGGCTGCTCCCTGGAGGATGCTGGGGCTGGAGAGGGTTCTGTGCCCTGGTGGATACTGGGGCTGGGGGCTGTGCTCTGGAGCATGCTGGCGCTGGAGGGGGGCTGTGTCCCGGCACTGAGTCCTACCTGACCCTGAGGGCTCCTTCTCCTTAGGTCACCTCAAACCTCGGGAAGCTGATCCTGAAGGAGGAGATGGAGAAATCTCTTCCCATCCGGAGGAAAACCCGCTCGCTCCCAGACCGGACGCCCTTCCACACCAGTGCGTGGGGCCAGGCAGTGACCCAGACATGCCCTCCTCTCCTCTTCCCCCTCTCTGATGCTGAGACCCTCCCCCCAGGCCTTTCCTGGCATCCACGGGAGCAGCATCCATTTTAAGTCGATACCCTGACAAGTGACATTGTTTTGGTATCGTTCCAGGTGTTGGTTTTATTTAAATATTGTTAGTGGCTGGGACTGGAGTAGCCCAGAACTCCCCCCAGCCAGCTCTCCTGGCCTGCTCCATGCAGCACCCCCTGCTGGGAGAGGCCGGGGCAGGAGTCACAGGGCGCTCCCCCGGACCATCCCCTGCACTGCTTTGTACGAGGATTTCTGCAGGAACAGTCAGCCCAGAGGTGACGCTGGCTCTTGCTCTTTTTCAGCTCTGCCCCTGGGGAGTTCCAGATCCTCCACCCTTCCTGGGAGAAGTACCCTCACCAGGGTAAGTGCAGTTCCCCACTTCACCCTCCCCTTGCCTGTTGTGTCCTTGGGAGTTTGGTGTTTTCCACATATTGTTCTTATCCGTTCAGATGGTGTTCAGGTCCAAATGGTGCCAAACTGAACCACTCCACCTGGGCTGGGATCCAGCTGACGGTGCCCTAGCCTAGCCGTGGCTGCTGATAATGCTCCGGGCTGGGCTGTGTACCCCTGGGGGTAATGTCACAGGCTGGGACAGTCAGGAAGAGGGGTTACCCAGAATTGAGAGCCAAAGCAAATCAGCCAGTGAGAGCAGGTGGCTCACAGCCTTGCTGGTGAGGGGACCCAGGGCCTTATGCCTTTGGGCCACTGATTCAAATCTGGCCCGTGTCCGCAATGATTGAGAGTCATTACCACTTTGTGGCTGTTCGGAGTCTTGTGTGAAATGAGTTTGTTGGGTCTCAGTCCAGCCCCAGTGGGACAGATCTCCTTGGCACCAAAACCACTCAGACTCCACTCTTCTCCCTGGAGGTGTCCTCTAGGGCAAGGTGGAGGGCAGTGCAGGAGGAATCTTGCTGGGTTGCCCTCTGGGATGCAGCTGCTCTGTGGGTACAGAAGCCCCTTGTTCTTGGGACTGTCAGTCTGGCCCTTCTCACCAGCTTCCAGCTGCTTCTTGCGTCAGGCCAGGAGGCAGTTTCTATCCATGCTCCCTGCCCCTCTCAGAGGCATTGCTGCCCTGGTGGCTGATGCTGTCTGATTTCCTTTTGCAGCTGCAGTCAGCAGAGTTCAGCCCAGACAGCAGCGAGAAGGGGAGCCCAGGTAAGAGGAGCACACGGCACAAGGTGCAGGGGAGATGTGTGTCTGGTCTGGTCTGGTCACTCAACCCAGAGAGGCCATTCAGAGTCATCAGCATCAAACTCTTGCTCAGCTTAGCTGGGCCTGTCGGCCTGATGGGGGCACTGTGTAACACGGCCCATGGGCCAGACCCCCAGCTGGTGTGAATCAACGCAGCACCCCGGCATCGACAGAGACACACGCGTTTATACCAGCTAAGGGATTCCAGCTCATCCCTGCCCCCATCCCACTGCTGATGAGCTCTGTGCCCGGTGCCCTCTCTTCATCTCTCGCCCAGCCCCACAGGATGCTGACCATAGCTGCCCCTACTGATTATCCTTGGGAGGGACAGATGGATTTGGTCTGGGTGGCCTCACGGCATTGGGGAGGGCTGGAGACAGAGTCCTGCCCCTCCAGGGCACCAGTTTAAATTAGGCCTGGGATGGTAGCGTGCAGGAGCCAGTATCTGACAGCTGTTGGGAGGCCCTTAGTGAGCTGCTGGGTCTCAGTCCACTTCCCAGCTGCAGTGTCCACATGGCTGCCCCAGCAGAGAGGCCAAGGGCTGGCTGGTGGGAACACCTTCCCCCCTCACCTCTAGACATCGGGGCACGACGCAGGAGCTGGGCAGGGTGTGGGGGAAGCCTGCCCAGCCGCTGCCATGCTGTGCCTGTTTGGGGGGCTTCATTCCCCGCCTGTCCCGTGCTAGCTTCATGCAAGGTGCGCCGCAGACCAGACGTGACCCCCGTGCTGCTGGGTGGGCCGTTACTCACGCCAATCCTCAGCCACGGCAGCGAGGGCTTTGCAGCCAGGCCCTGAGTGGCCGTTGTCCATTATCTTTTGATATTGGGAATTCCAAAGCTTTGTGCAGCCCACGAAGGGTGAAATTGACACCTCTCCGCTCCATGTAGCCAGAGAAAGCAGACAAAATCCTCGGCTGGCGTAAGCTCCATTGCATCTGTGGGCCAGATTCCCAGCTGGTGTAAAACCCACAATACTTCCATTGACCTCCTGCCGATTTCCACCAGATGAGGATCCGGCCCCTTGTTCTAAATGAGTTGGGACATGCAGCCCCTGCACCCACAGCTGGGAAGTCGGGGGGGGGGATCCTAGAGAGATGGCTGGAGCTGCGGCTCTCTGAGCCCTTTTTCTTTGTGTTTTGCAGACCTGCAGGTAAGCAGTCGCCCTGCTGCTGGAGGGGAGACACTGGGAGCGGTGATGTATCTTGGGGGAGGCGGGGGGAGTGCCCCTCCCTTCCCTTGCACGCTCAGCCTCTCCCAACCTCGCATGGCTGGCACCGGCTGCCAGAGAGATAGAGCTTAGTGGTGCAGGACTGGTGCCGAGACTCAGACAGGACCACTGAGAAGGACAGGGACTGGAGTAGGGCAGCAGGGAAGGGAATGGGGTGGCAGCACCAGAGAAGGAGAGAAGGGCGGGCTGAGGAGACAGAGAAACCCAAAGAGGCAGGATGGGGAGGGATTGTGGGAAAGAGGTGTGGGAAAAGAGAGACAGGGATTTAGGAGCTTGGGTGGGGGCAGAGAGACAGTAGAGACACAGGGGTTTAGGAGCTCCAGGTGGGGAAGAGAGAGACAGCGGAGATGTGGGGGTTTAGGAGCGTGAGTGGGGGCAGAGTGCCATTCTCTCCAGTGCCTAGGCTGAAGCCCATCACCCTGCTGTTTGTTCACTTCCTTTGTGGGAGGTGGTGGGGATTCCTGCGTGGGAAGCCCTGTGTGCCCACCCAAGACTGACTGGGGGTTTTGCTGTCTGCAGAATGGCCAGCGGGGGAGGATGGACAGAGGGAACTCCCTGCCCAGCATGCTGGAGCAGAAGGTAAGAGCCGTGGCTGGGGGCTCTGCAGGCCTGGGGCCAGGATGCAGCGTGTCCCAGCCATGGGCTGGGAGGCTCACACATTCGCCTTGTTACATGCTGCTGGCTGGCTGGCTGGCTGGCTGGGGGGTGTGGACTAGCGGGCGTGCCCTACTGCAGGCTTTCTGTGGGTGGTGGAACATGCCCCATTGCAGGCTGAGCTGGGGGTGTGGGGTGGGGATGGGATGCGATGGGGACAGGGACAGGCATTTTAATGAACCCTGCTGTTTAACTGTGTTGTCCTTGGCTCTCAGATTTACCCCTATGAGGTGCTGAAGGTGACGTACAGGGGTCGTGTGAAACTGCTTCCGGGAGTGGACAGAACAAGGCTAGAGGTATGGATGGGGATGGGGCATCTCGCTGGGCCCTGCGGTGTCTGGGCCCAGGGGAGGGAGGGGGCCAAGGAAACAACTGCTGACAGATCCCGGGGCAGAGTGGGGGGCGGTTCAGGATAAAACAGCTGGAGAAATACATAAAGGAGAAGGGGAGAGGGAAGAGAGAGTTAATGTTTTATGGCCCCTGGACTTGGAGCACTGCCTGCTGCCACCCCATCCCCAAGCTGCCCTCCCCTGCTGCCCTTCTCCTGCACAGTCCTGGGTATTTTGTTCTCTTATACCAGTGCTAAAGGTGGAAGTTAATTCGATTAGAAAAGGAGGGAGCCAGGCTCTCGCCCCATGGCTACATGGGTTGGGCACCTGCCACAGGGGCCCAGGCACAGCAGACTCCATGGCCCTCACCTACAGTGGGCACATGCAGTGTGAGGTCAGGGAGTGGGGTCAGTGTCTGCTGGGGCCGGGAGGGAAGCTCTGGCATTCAGGCCAGTTCTCCACACCATGTGGCAGTGGGATAGCTGAAGGCATGATGTTAAACCGAGGCGACTCTGGGCCTGTCTGCGCTGCAATCAGAGGCGTGACTGCAGCAGGGATAGAGATCCCTGAGCTAGCTTTGATCTAGCTATGGTGGGTACCAACAGCAGTGAATCTGTGGCAGCACGGGCTGTACAAGCCCACGTGGGGCAAGCTAAACTGCTGTAACCAGTTTAAAGGCAATATAAGAGAGTCTACACTGGGGGTTGCATTGGTTTAACTAAATCATTTTTAAACTGATTTATGTTAAACTGATGCAACTTCTGTGTGTAGACATGTCTAGTGTGAGGGTTTGTATTAGGACTGGATGGGAAACCGATTTTCCATCTTGGGGGAAATTCCACCATTTCAGAAAAAAAATTCTATACCAAAACACAACGAAAACAAAACATTAGAAATTTCTTGAGAAATGAAATTCCAGTTTTTTGTTTGTTTGTTTTGCGTTGATCAAAATGTTTTGTTTCAATAAAATGGTTTAATTCTGATTTTGATTTTTTAAAATATTATATAAAATAAACAATATTTGAAATGAAAAGTTGTTTCAAAATGGAAAATTGAACCCCCCACCCAAAACGCAGTGGTACACGCACACGTGTGCTCACACGTGCACACTGATCTGGCACAGAGACATATACACACAAACTGACCTCATACACGTGCATACACACTGATCTGGCATTTACCCACAGGCACTGATCTGGTGCACACACACACACACAGATTTTGTGTGAACACACACACTGATCTGGTGCACACACATGCACACACACAGATTTTGTGTGCACACACACACTGATCTGGCGCACACAAACACACACACACTGATCTGGCGCACACACATACACACACAGACACTCTGATCTGGCGCGCGCACACACACACACACACACACACACACACACACAGTGACTGGTGAATAACACCCACTGTTTCTCTCCCTCCAGAGGCACCTGTCCCCAGAGGATTTCCTGCGTGTCTTCAAGATGTCCCTGGAGGAGTTCAGCAAGCTGGCCCTGTGGAAGCGGAACGAGCTGAAGAAGAAAGCTTTACTGTTCTGAGCCGTGTGCCCGGCCTGAGCCAACCCTAGCCGTGATCTCAGTTAGTGTCAAACACAATCTCGCATCACAGCTGCTTTAGGGCTACTGAGCCAGTTTTAACACCTGCCTCCCTTCCCCGAAGCCCCTCAGGCACGTTGATCCCTCATTCCCAGTTTTGCCTCTCCCTAGGGGATATCGGAGAGCCTCTCCCTGCCCAAACCTTCCCCCTCACAGGCCCGGGGGGGCTGCTGGCAACGCTGGTGGGCTGTTCAGTCTGGGTCAAACCTCTTTTAATGGAGCCAGGGGAGGGAGAATTGAACAAGTGGAGGGAGGAGCAAGCAGACCCTAGTCAGCCAAGGTCCCCGGGCTGGGTGATGTGTAGGGGCTTCTCGGGGGCAGGGCATCAGTGTCCCTCTTTGCCTGTTGGGGTCGCGGCTGGTTCAGCCAGGATGGGAGCCATAGCTACTGGAGGGGACTCTGGCAGGGGCCCTGGCTGGACAGAACAGGGACACATCATACTGTTCGGTTGCTGGACGCATGTTGGTTTAGGTGTAAGGGAAGTCAGGGCTGCTTCTACCTTGCTGCTGGGCCCTGACTGGCTCCCCCACTTCAGGACCCTGCTCCCAGCCTTACTGCTCCTCTCGGGGCCAGCTTCCCACCCTGTCAACACTGGGTAGGGCACATGTATATATCTGAATAGCTGTAACTCTGACGTGGGCCACAGGGGCTGCTGGGTGTCGCCATGGCTGCGTTTCTGAGTGGCCGGTCACTAATGGGGTTGCCATTTGCCTAGAGTAGGCTCCAAAGAGCCATGATCTTCATTAGCAGCCACTCCCCATGGACCCACCTGCAGGCGGGGTCCCATCCTCGTAATCAAACGCCCTTCGTTGGAGCTGGGAGGGGGCACAAGAACCTCTCGCTGGAGAGAACTGGAGAATCAGAACCAACCCTTCTGAGGTCATCTCTGTCTCACTCTCGCTCGCTCCTGGCCTCCCCCTCCTCTCCTCACTCCCACCATCCCTCCCCCTAAATTCAATCCCTAGGTGGACATGACCGAGCACCTCCCAAGTTCTCAACCCAAGGGCCCAGGCTCTCAAACCACAGAGCTCCCCATTAAGGCTACAGCCCCCACTCCCCACCCCTTGCAGCTGCCTCTGGGGGAGGGTTGCTCTTAGCTCGATTGTTTCATGGCTCAGTAGTTGATGATTTTGCTCCTGCCCCTTTGTGGAGCCTCAGTCAAAGCCCAGCGGCTGCCCCGCCAAGCCCAAGGCCTTTCCCCAGGTTTGGCAGAGGAGTTTGCCTGAGCAGTGAGAGACTCAGGGCTTGAGGCTGGAGGGGAGCCTAGAGGCAGCTCATCACGTTCTCTCCAGCCTGGCATGCGATCTCTGGCAGCCATCTCACTCTGTCCTCCTCAGGCCTCCCGGCTACGATTTCCCTCTCCACGTGTACCCCGTGGGGTGCAATAACCCTCTGCTGTGGAAACCACACCATCAGTACACTGCCACAAACTGCAGGCTGTCCCCTGCTGACAAGCCAGGTGAGGTCCGATTTTGGCTTCCCAGACGCAGTGTGTAACCAACCAGGGCTCAGACAAGCCAGCTCTCGCTATGCCCAAGGATGGAACTTCATCAGGCAGTGACAGTATTTTAGAGCCGGTGCGGGTGAGGGGATGCCTGTGTCAATGCTAGGTGAAGGAGCAGAGAGGATGCCAAGGCAGAGGGCTCTGTGCAGCTGCCTCAGTAGCTAGGAAGCCAGGCCCTGTGCAGTGACCAGCAGAGACTGATGTGGTGCCGATCCCTTGTGGACCCCGGCCTCATCGCCAGGCCCTGGAGTTTGGAAATAATCACCCAAGATTGCTCTGCATCCTGCACACAACCCCGCCCAAGCCCCGTTCCCCGCACGCTTCAGAGCTGCCTACAAGGAGCAGTGTGTCCTGGAAAGGGCAGGAAACTTACCAGTATCCTGGGGGGTTGTTCCACGCTATGCTTCTTGTTTGCCAGAGGACAAGCTCGGCTTCCAGCCCAGCTGCACTCCCCACCTTAGAGCCACCTCTGAGATCTCTCAACCAAGCAAAGAGTAAACAGCCGGGAGACTCCCCCTTCCTGATAGGGTATTGATCAAAGGGGATCCAATAAGCCTATGTTTGGATCAGCTGGCCTGTCTCGGGCAGACCCTTATCCAGCAGAGCAGGAGCATTATAGAGAGGTGAGCCACGCTTTTCTCTGAAATGTCAGCTGTTGGCAGGATATTGGCTTGGCAGCCCGCTCCTGCACATGGACGTCTGTGGGAGCTCCCTATGTGGGGCACATGCAGGACAGTCTAGTGGTCTGATCACCCATCCCATCTGGGCTAATAGCACCTTACATGCCTCCAGGAACAAACCCAAGGAGCTAACAATTTCCTTTGCTTTGGGGTATTTTTAAAAGTCAAAATAACCAGCGGTCGAATAGGGGAACTGGCCCCCCATTAGCCAAACGATTTCCTGGTCTGCTGCTCCTTTCAGTCCCCCTCCTGGGTCCTTTTTCTACTGTGCACCACATCTGCTCCACAGCGCTGGCCTGAGAGCGCTTTCCCTTTTCAACCACTGCCCCACTACACTCTGTCGGGATGTAAAGAATGTAATTTATTGGGAAATCCCTGGCCCATTCTTGCCTTTCACTGCTACTTATATGACATATCTATAAATATATATATATAAATATGGATTTTTTTCTGATTTGAATACAGTGATTCCCCTTTCTCTGTTTATTTTTTGCTGGTGTCGGAGATTCCACGTGAGAGTGATTTTTTGCTTATAATTAAAGGTGAAATGGCTTTATTCAACACCCACTTCTGCTGATTTTTATTCCTGTTCGCTTTAGAGTGGTGTTAAATAGCATTTTGCACCTTCCAGACAAGGACTGCAAAGCGGTTCACAGGCCTTAAGAAATTCAGCCTCACCCTCACAGGAGGGGATATTTGTAATTCAATGTTACAGGTTGGGAAAGCGAGGTCCAAAGAGGAGGGACTTGCCCAAGATAATGCAGTGCGTCAGAGTCAGGAATTGCACCCAGGAGTCTGGGCTGCTCATTTTTTCTGTTCTGGCCACTAAACTTTATTTAGCTCCAAGGCTAGGAGTAAAAACCCAAGAGTCCCTGATTCCTAATCTACTGCTCTAAGCACTAGGAAACCTCCCTCTTAGGCCACTGACCCCCCTAGGCTCGAGAGCCAGAATTGCAGTCCAAGCCATAAAATCCACACTGCTATTTTTAGCATGCTAGCTCAAGCCCCACTAGCCTACCTGGGTTGGAAGGCTGGCTCCCAGCTGCCGTGTAGATGCACCAGAAGTGTCCAGTTATTAATATTGATCCCTTGCCCTTCTCAGTGTTTCCCATCTGGATGCACTTCCCAGCCGTTAGCGAGTTAAGTCTCGCAACCTGTTGTCCGTCCCCGCCCCCCCACACACATGCAGGACATGTCTGCACTGCACAAAACCCATGGCAGACACTCTCAGAGCCCGGGGTCAACTGAACTGACTCAAGCTGGTGGGACTCGCGCACTATGTGACTATGGGGTTAAAAGGAGCCGTGTAGATGGTCCTGCTCAAGCTGTGAAACCCAGCGGGGGTCCCTGTGAGTACCACCATTTCCATGTCACAGGCACAGCCCAGGGAAGTGACTTGCCCAAGATCACAGAGCAAATCAACGGCAGAGCCAGAAAAAGAACCCAGGAGTCCTGCCTCCCATTCCTTTTGGACCTGGTTTTCCCAGCCCATGTAGGGTGACCAGACAGCAAATGTGAAAAATCGGAACAGGGGGTGGGGGGTAATAGGAGCCTATATAAGAAAAGGACCCTCTATAAAATTGGGATATCTGGTCACCCTAGGCCCACGCTAACCCATTCTGCATGCCACAGCCCTTCTGACTCAGGAGTGGGGTGTGAGCTGCGTCCACACTGCAGAATAACAGGGCTGGCACACGAGTCACAGTGGGACCTACCCGCCAAGCGGCTCCTAGGACCCGGGTCTTGAGTGCTGATGTTTTCTGGGGGCTCGGACCCAAACCTGAGCCCGCGCCTGTAGCCGGACGTTGCGCCCTGCAGGTGGCGGTGCTGCTCCGGGGAGTCGGCGGCTGGCGCCGGCCCTTCCTCCTGGAATCCCGGGCTCGGCCCCCTCCCCTCCCGGCATGGGCTGCGCTGGGGCCGGGGCTGCGCCGCTCCTGTGCGCCCGGCTTCCCCGGCTCCGGCGCCCGCGGAGGAGAGGGCGCCCGGCGCTATGTGAGCGGCCCGCGCCGGAGCCTGCCCCAGCGCCCCCCCTGCAGCCGGCGCCATGGAGAAGCAGAAAGGTAGCGCTCCCCTTGCCAGCTCCCGGGGCTGGGAACCCCTCCGCGGAGCGGGGCTGGCGGTAACCGGGGTGGGCGGGTGCCAGTGGGTGAGAGTTGAACTCAGCACCTCTGCCTGTGCTCTCTGGCACCCATAGGTGCTGGAACGAGGGGTGCTGGGGTGGGGGCTGCCACACTCCCTGGCTTGAAGCGGTTCCCATCATATCCAGGGTTTGGTTCAATGGCTGTCAGCACCCCTCGCTCGACAAATTGCGCCAGCCCCATGGCTGGCATGTGCCTGCCACCGCCGCCGGTGTGGTTAGACAGCGGCTGGCGTGTTCCTTTTCCAGGTGGTTGAGCATGTGTTGCGTGTTGCCCGGGAGCCAGGCGTTGACATACATGTAGCGGTGCCAATGTGCCATCGGTGCCGCCTCTCTCTTGCAGAGTGGGCTCATTCGAAAGCACTCCTGGGCGGTTCTCTGCTCTGGGGTATTTGGTTGGGAGGCCGGGGATCTCCAGGGGTGAGGGCTGTGACCCATGCCTGGAAGAGCCCTTCTCTCTGCCGCTTGGAAACACGCTGCCCAGAGAGGGAATTCCAGAACTGCCATGTCTTCTCTGCAATCGTCCTCCCTTATCCCTTCGTGGTATGAGTCATCTTGCAGTTGGCCAACACAGCTCAGAAATCTGGAGTCCAGGCCCTGAGCCGCTGAGATGGCTCAGGAAGCAGAGATCAAATTAGGAGAACCTGGGATTGGAGGGAAGCAACTTCCCTGGGAATGGGGTCATTCTGGCATGGGATACAGAGGGCCTCACGGTCTCACATCCAGGTGCTGAGCTCCCCACAGCAGCGCTGGGTGTCAGAGTGGGATGTCGGGGCTGAGATGAAATCCCTGCAGAAGTGGTTGTTTCCCCATCCCTGGCTTCTGCTGCATAGGGGGTGATAGTGCAGGAGGAGACTTTATCCGGGGGGAGGTGGGAGTCACATCCCGATCCCGGCTGATCTCCCTTTAAAGGACTGACCGAGGCCCCTGATGGGGGTGGTTCTGTCTGCTTTGTGCACCCAGCTCTGAGCCTTGCATCTGAATTCCTGGCAGCTTTCCCAGTCCCTAAAGGTGACCGGGGGGAAAGGTATCAAGATCAAGCACTAGCTGCTGAATGGCCTTAAAACACTGGCATCTCAGATACATCCCAGTCTTCCTTCACCTTTTCTCCACCCCCCCTGCTGTTGCTGGGAATGCACTGCAGATGGGGGATTGCTGCATTCCGACATCTCTGGGCTGTCCAAAGGTTGCCATGACCGTGCTGGCTCGGTCCCAAGGGGCTCTGATATACCCCTGTGCCCATGGAGGGATCTGGCTAAAAGAGAGCCCTGCATAGGGAGCTGGCCAATCTGTTGGTGACAACAGACCTGCGCTGGTGCCTGGGACGCTGAGATCTGTAGCGTGCAGGGTGTTTGTGTGTTTCCTTGCAACAGGGCACACTTTTAGCAAGTGTTTAGCATCCTGATTTTATACGTGCCCTTGGGGCTCACCTGAAAGCCAGCCCCTGTCCCATCCCACTTAGCCAAGTTTTGTCTCCCTCTGAAACTCAGGCTATTATTATTTGGCAGTGCGGTCGAGCAGATGGGGCGTCAGACTGGGAGCCAGGACTCCTGGATTCTATCTCTGACTCTGCCAGTAATCTGCTGGATGACCTTGGGCAAGTCGCTTCCTCTCTCTCTGCCTCTGTTTCCCCTCCCACCATTGTCCGTCTTGGATTGTGAGCTCTTTAAAGCAGGGGCTGTCTCTTACTACGTGTTTAGCAGAGTGGGGCCTTGATTTCACTTGAGGCCTCCGGGCGGTACTGTCATGTAAATAATAATAGAGGTCTCAGTCAAGGATCAGGCCCCAGTGTGCTAGGTGCTGCACAAATATGCTATATAAAACCAGCATCTGCTCCAAGGAATTCCCAATCTGAGATGGTGACACACAGATGAACAGACCTGTGTGTGTGTGTGTATGCAGGGTGGGGAGTAGGGACAACGACAAGATGACAGTGAAGCCTTTGCATAAATGAGTGGGCTTCGTTCCTTCTCCTGCTAGCATTGCTGGAAGACTGTATCCCTCCGCCAACACCTGGCTGAGTTTGGTGACTCTGGCTTTTGCACTACTTTAAAGAGGAGGCGCTTGGGGCTGGTCCCATGGGCACTCTGGAGCTGGGTGATGGAAGCCTCAGGCAGCACACCGGGGTCTATGGCATGAGCCCTTTCCCTGGGGAGCTCAGCACCCACCTCCCCCGAACACGGCGCACGCCTTCAGGGCACATCATCTGGAGCCTCTGAATGGACCGTGGCCCAGCCATCGCTGACAGCAGCAGGGGAACGAGGTGTTAGGAATGGGCTGGTGGAGGAGCTGGATTTTCCATGTGCCTTTCCCTGCACTGTCTAGACTTCCCCAGCTCCATGGCAGTTCCTGTTCTTTGGGCCGCTGTGCAAGTTGCTCCTACGGTTCCCAGTAAGGGGCCTGCTAGACCTGGGATTGGGGCATGGGGACCCGGACAGGGCACGTTGCTGCAGGCAGCAGCTATTGCGGGAGGAGACAGGAATGGGGGCAGATGCGTTTACCTTCAACTGCTCATTCTCTCCATGGAAACCGAGGCAGCTGTTTTCAATCTCTGTAGCATTTACTTGGCCTGGGATGTTTGTAGATGGCGCGTTGTCAGGGGCGAGTCGGAGACCCCTTGGATTGCAGCAGCCAGGCTTTCAGCGCCAGGGAACGACTCTCACACCAGCACAGGCACGCTGACACACAAGCGTGAGCACACGTCTGTAGGCACACACGCTCGTAGGCGTGTAGACACAGCCACGTGCACACCCTGTCATTTAGACAGCCACCTGTGCACACGCAAGCACACAAACCTGCAGGTATGTGTGACGAAGCGAGTGAGCTCACATGGGCGCACACACACCTTTGTGCACGCATACATGTGCGACAAAGCACGGGATGCACATGATCTCGTGCACACACACACACAAGTCCATCGTACTAAACCCACATGAAATGCAGTGCGCGCGTGCACAGAGCTCTCCCGTTGCTGACATTACAGAGGAGGAGCGCTGCTTCCCACAGGCCCGTGGGCACTAAATGCTCTGACTCATCCCTTGCACGTTGGGTGGCTTCCTCCCCCAGCCCCCATGTCATGTGTTCCTGAAGCGCGTTGCTCTCTGGGTGCTAGGCGGCGGGTGAGCCCCTGAATGAGCTTGTGACAGACCATAATTGACGTGTGGGGGGGCTGGGGGGAGGAGAGTTAATGGCAGGGCAGATCCTGTTAGAGCTGGGCTTCTTGCTCGTAGCTGTGGGTGCCAGTGGGCTGGGTGCGGGGTTCTGGGGAGCTGGGGGATAAGGCACGAGTAGGTGCAAGGTGAGAGTTGAGAGGAGATGTGGCCCCTGGGCAGGGGTGGGGGGGAAGAGGAGTGGTGCTGGGAGTGGAGGGGATGTCATCACAGAGGAATGCAGACTCTGCTGGGGTGGGGGGAGGAAAGAGGGAAATGAGGAGAGGGGGAGACCAGAGGGGAGCAGCAGGGAGTGCTCAGTGCACAGGGCCCCCTGCCTGGCCTGGATTCCCTTCCCGGGGCTCCCTGGATCTGCGCTGGAGGAGCATGCTGGCTCTGCTTGTGCTGTGCACAGGGATGTCTCCCTCGCCTGAGTTCTCCCTTGATTTCCAGAAAACAACCCCCCCACCCCGCTTCCCAGTGCCCCCCTGCCCTGCTGCCCCTGGATGAGGTGCATGGAATTAGTCATTACCCCCCCGCCCCGTTTCTAGGGAAGTCCAGATGTTTGGATCCCCTCCTGCTTTGCTAAACCCATCTCCCTCCCAGATGTTTTCTCTCCTGCAGGCAGTGACAGTTTGCACATGCTCCCTGCCTGCCCTTGCGCCCCTGTCCCAAATCCCTCCCTCTCCTCTGAGCATCTCTCTCTTTGCCCCAGGGCCCTGCATGGCTCTGCAGCACCCCCTGTGGCAGGTGCATGCACTGACCACTGATGGTGCAGAGGCCCAAGCCTGGGGGAGATCCAGGGGTCAGGCAGGCTGGGAGGAAGGCACGGGAGCACCAGCTGGGGACAGGATGGATGAGGCCAAGCTCCTGTTGAACCCCAGACTGACCCAGGCTGCAGGATTGCTGAGCAATGTCAGAGCGTTTTGCTCCCTTGAGTTGCAGATGGGGCCCAGGTAGGATGCTGGGGCTCTGGGAATGCAAGGGGGTGGCGCCAAAGGAAAGGATGGTATATGAAGAGAAGTGAGCCCAAGCTGCATAGAGAGTGGGCCGGAGAAGAGGAATCATGCATCACTCAGCCGCCACCCCCTGGGGGAGCCCAGCAGCCCCTGTGCTGGCTGACTGCCCACCTCTCTCTCTTCCTTTGTTCCGTTTCCCACATCCACCCACCCACCCTCCCTTGCCATGTCGCCGGCCGCTTCGCTCTCCTCTTCCCTTCACCCAGTCTCTGAGCCGCTCGCTGGTCGTTTTCCACCCAGTAGGTTTGTGCAAAGGACGGGCAGAGAGCTGAAATCCCCATCTCTGCCAGCACAAGATTCCTTGCAGTGCTGAGAACCAGGCTCACCTCAGCCAGGTGCTTGCTCCCCCTCAAACCACCCTGATGCCGCTCCAAGGACCTGGGCCATCTACCGCTCTGCTGCATCCCCAGCCATTTACAAGGTGCTTCAACATTTGCTCTCTCCCCTGGATGCAGTCAGGCCTTCCCGAGGAGTCGCACGGCATGAGTCTGGTCCATGTGTGGGGAGGATTTCACCTTCTTCTGAATCATCAGCTATTGGCCTCTGCAACAGGCAGGTTGTGGGACTAGATGGGCCCACTGGTCTGATCCCCAGAGCCTGGGGCTTGGTGGGCCTATTGGTCTGACCCAGCGCAGCAGAGAGCTGTGGGGACCAGGCTGGACCCACTGGTCTGATCAGGAGTAGCAGGGGGGTGGGGATACTGAGCTAGATGGGCTGGGCAGGGAGGTGAGACTATCATCCTGGATGGAGGGGCCGGTTCAGCAGCAAGGAAGGATTCCAGCTCAAACGGATTTGTGGTCCAATCTGTGGATTAGGAAGCAGGGTGGTGGGAAGGGGGAAGCGGGGAGGGACAGACACAGTTCTGTGTTCTTGACCGGCGTGGCCGAATCTGAAACTGGAATCCCATGATGAAATATGACCTTGGCTTTTCTTGCCCCGGGGGAACATGAGACAACAGGTCTGCAGCCTTCAGAACTACAGGGTGCGGGGTGTGGGAATAAAGCACAGTAAACCCTTCTGTTTTATGAGCCAGGACTGGGGAGGTGGGAGGGGGGCGGGGGCTGTCTTGCTTCTGCGCACTTGGCAGCTCCGTATCAGTCTTTCCAACATCCTTGCAACACACGGAGTTTGGGCACCTTTCCCAGCCCTCTCCTCTGCTTGACCATCCTGTGAAGAAGCCAGGACGTTTCCTCACGCCACTTACTGACCACACGGCTTGCCATGGGTCTGATGGTGCGCACTGTGTTCACTTCTCAAACCACTGGGTCTGGCGTGCCCACTGGCTGGATTATGCATTAGATCCTAACCAATGTAGCTCCAGCTGCTAGCCGATGTGTGAGTGCATCAGTGCTGGGCACATTCATATTTGTTTAGCTGCCCCCATGGAAATGTTTGGGGGCAGTGGCCACTCCCCATCCAACACTGCAACCTGATCTGCTGCTGGAGAATGTTAAAGTTGAGGGAAATTGGAAAAGGGCAAAGGAAAGAGCAGGAGATGTTGCCTAAGAGCGAGATCTCTGGGTATATCCACACTGCAGCCCGAGTCGTCATTTTCTAGCTCGCGTACCCGGGCATGTGCTAGCGTTGATTGAGCCAGCGCACTAAACGAAGCAGTGCAGCTGCAGTGGCACGAGCTAGCTGCCTGAGTCCAGTCCCATGCAAGATTGTAGGTAGGTATTAGGGCATCTAGCCGATCCCACTGCCCGGGCTGCCATGGCTGCACGGCTGTTTGTAGTGCACTAGCTCACAGCTACTGCCGTGTATGTCTGCCCACGCTGGGAATCACACCTCCAGCTGCAGTGCAGCCGTACCCTGCAAGGCTGTAGAATAGTCCCCAAAGGACGTGGTGGGAGCCCATTGGGACTGGCCGAAGAACGGCCCATGGGGAACAACCCTTCCCTGTTTCCTGCTTGGATGAACTGTGAGCCCCGGTAGATTCCGTCCATTGTTGTGAAAGGCAGTGTTGGGTGTGAGTCGGCGCTGTCCTACCAGGGCAGGTGGTAGCAGGAGAGGCTGGCCAGAGTGGGGATAAGAGACTTGAGTGATTCCCTAGCCGAGTAGGTGAGGAGGACGGAGGAGAGAGCCACGTGTCCATGGATGGAAAGGTGCTGGCATGCTAGAACAGAGGTGAAAGGGGAGTGTCATCGGAAAACAACACGGATCTGTCAATACGACTCGAGAAGCTGCCGACCTGACCCTCCCCAGCTGGAGGGTAAGGATGGCGCTTCATCTGTAGCCCGGTCCCAGGCAGCGGGGCAGGCTGCTTATATCAGGTAGACTTGCAGCTGATGAGAAACTTCCTCCCCCACCTCCCATTGTGCCAGGCCAGGGCAAAGGAGGAATGCAATGCAATCTCTCCCTTCACTGGCCCTTGTGACTGGCTCCCACGGCGTGACCTCCCAGGACCGGGCACATAGAGCCATTAGGAGCCTGTCTGTGTGTTCAAACGTGTAGAGGAGCAAGGGGCAAACTGAGGGGCTAAGCATCTGCCCCAGGGCGGGTGGTTCCAGGCCTTCCCTCGCAGGTGGGCTGGGATTGCAGCCCCTGCCAGCTGCACTGTGATCGGAAGTGGGGGATGTGGGCCCGTTGGGCTGGGCAACGTGGTGCTCCTGGGGGAAGGCTGGGCTGCGTGCTTTAGTGTGGCGGAGGTGCTGAGGGGTAAGAGTGAGATGTGTTTGAGCTGTGTGTGTGTGTGTGTTGGGAGGAGGGCTTGGGTTGTGTGTTTTGGAAGATGCACTGAGAAAACAGGTGTGTGTGTTTGGGAACTTGTGTGTGCAGAAAGGGGTACATTGGGCTGTGTGCCCGGGGAGGGCATGGTGTGTCTGGGGGCACTGTGCTGTGTGTCCAGGGGTGTAGTGTACCTGGGGGGGGGCGTGGACAGTGTGCCCTGGGGGGATGATGTGCTGGGGATGCTGTGCTGTGTGCCTGGGACGTATGTTTCCTCATTAATCAGATAAATGACTATCTGCGTAAGGATCTGGGGAAGAGGGATGGAGCTGCCCCTGCATACTCACATACCAGGAGCCTTGTGGAGCCTCTCTGCCCCCCTGCCTCCCAGGGACTTGGCAGAGTCTTGTTGCTCCCCCAGGGGATGGGGCCCCTCTCATGGTTGTGAGAATGCCAGCTGGGGGGGTGGAGAATCTGGGGGAGCTGTTGACCGTGATCCGTCCGGAGACTCATCAGGGAAGTGCCATGGGGAGCCATCTTAAATCCTGCCCCTGCTCCCCCGGGCCTGGGGACACCGAGCTGAGGTTAGAACAGCTCTGCCCACACTGCCCTCCCAACAGGCCCTATGACGTGGCAGTTCCCTACAGTGGTGAGGTGTCCAGAGAGCAGCGGGCACCATCTCCGCCATGGGGAGCAGGGCCCATGGGCTGCCTTGTGGCTCGTCACCGCCGTGAGGGGGTTCCAAGGAATGAAGTCAAAATGGGCCTGGTCTCAGCCCTGTCCCACCCCCCCCCCCGGGGGGTAGGGAGGTTCCCTGGGGGGGTGGAGGATGCCCTGTTTGGGTAGGGTCAGGGTTGGAGGTTGAGGGGGCCTGGGGTGGGGCCTTTAGAGCAGGCTTGCCATGGCTGGGCAGAATGGGCTCGGTGAAGCATTCCCAACATTGCAACTGTTCCAGGCAGCAAATTGCAGCTTTGCGTTCGGGGGAACCAATGAGGGAACATCGGTGCTGGGGGGACGAGGAAAAGGCCGCCTGGGCCCCAGGCCAAGAATCAGTGGGTTTCGTCAGCGGGCCTGCAACATTTTATCACAGCTGGGAGCGGGGAGTGGAGCCTGGAGCCGTCCGGAGTGGTGCCGAGAAGGGAGACGCAAAACATTTCCAGATGCATGGCGGAGAGGAGGGAAGAGCAGCCTGGCAGGGCGGGTGAGGAGCAACCTGGCAGTGGGGAAGCAAAAGGGGGGGAGTCTGTGTTACCCCCTCTCTATGGGGACGAGGGGGCTTCTGGGGGCTGGAAGGGAGCGTGAGGAAAGCTGGCAGCACTGTCCAGGTCTCCACCCTGGGAGGAAATTTGGCTGGTCGAGAAGTGGAGCAGGGCCAGGCTCTGGGGTTCCGCTGGCGATTCCAGGCCTCTGCAGCAGAGTTCAGGCGGTGGGCAAGCTGTGACCTGGGTGTCTCCTGCATGTCTCCCCATGCTGTGCCCTCTGCTCGGTGTCATTCCTGGGAAAACTGATGGGGATGGTGGGGGTGGGGTTGTAAACTGACTGAGGAAGGGGGAAGAAGCCCCTCCTCCACCGTATGTTTCTTGAATGCAGGAAACTGCTGCTGGGACATAGAGCAGACACAGCTTCTGTTTGGGGCTAGAATCTGGAGGGCCCCTTCCACCATTTATGGCCCAGGTAACGCTTTGCATCTCTTAAATGGCTGTGGTGAGAATGCCGAACCCCTGCTGGGGACCAGGCTCGCCCAACTCGCTGTGCTTGTGACCCGAGCTGGGATTCGAACATGGCTTTGCCGAGGTGTAGGAATCCACGGAGCCATCACCGGGCGAAGGGCTGATTCCAAGGGTTTGGGTCAAACCCACAACTCCTTTCTGGGTCTGCCATACCAGTGCCAGGCTGTCTGGAACAAGGGATTGCTTCTGGACACAGGGCAAAGCCAGGCAGGGATTAGCAAACCAAACGCAAGGGGTGGTTTGCGTCTAGGTTCTGTTTGATCGGAATCCCCGAAGTTCTAGATTTTCAGGAGTGCTGAGTGCTCACGAATTCTGCGGGCGTCAGTGGTAGCTGCAGGTGCTCAGTCCCTCTGCAAACCAAGCTGCTTCTTTCGGTGTCAATCTGTAAGCCCCCAAGTGTGAACATCTTGGGCTAAGCCCGTAGAGGGAGGAAGGAGGGCCTCTGGAGAGGAAAGATGGTCTGGAGGTCATGAGCCTGGGTGGCAGGACTCCTGGGTTCATTCTGTGCTCAGTTGGGGGGTGTTGTCAAGTGGCTAGGGCAGGGAGCATAGGCTGCATTCCCAGCTCTGTCACTTACTTGCTGCCCAGCACTGAGCAAGTCACTGCCATGCTCCGTGCCTCAGTCTCCCTCTCGTAGCATGGGTGGGGACAATGATCCAGAATCCCTCTTGTGGTGCCAGGTGCCTTGGAAATACCAATTATCATTATCCCCAGAGGCTGACAGAGAGGGAGACAGGGATGGGAAGTGAATCCAGGCCTGTGACCCACGATGCTGCTGGCTGGCCCCATAGCACTTAGCTGTGGCTCAGGACAGGCAGGCTCTCCCTGGGCTTTGCCTTTGTTCTGGGCTGATTGGGGGCTTTTATTCCTCTTTCCAAGCCATGCGAGGGGGCGGCGGGTAAATGCTCTGCATTGCACTGGGAACACACCAGCCTTCATCAGCTGTGCTGTTTGGTGCAACATTATCGCCCCCTCCTTCCCTTTCCCTCCCCCCCCTTTCGGTGCGTGGGATGTCAGTGAAGGCACGGCGGCTTCTGAGCGCTGGTTGGGGGCACAATTGCCCCGCTGTCTGACAGAGGGGGTCACGGGCGAGGGAGGGGTGAAGAGGCCTCGTTCAGGCAGCAGCCCGGGAGACAATGCCGAGACATTCCCCAGCATTGCTAGCCCGGCGAGGGAGAACAGGGAAGTGGACTGAAAGGAGAGATGTCACCGGAGAACTTTCCAGCCGCCTCTGCATCTTTGACATGCCCTGGCCAGCCTTCCCCGAGGGGGCGCTCCAGTTCCATCTCCAGCGCTGCCACCCCCCTCCCTGACACACTGGGGAGCCTCTGGGTCAATCGCTCTCTGGCAGGAAACACTGAGTTAAACTCACCCTTCTGCCAGTCAAACCCCATATTCATCTCTCCTCTCAAAGAACCTGGAAGCCCAGTCCCCGAAACAAGCCTGCTCTTTTAGTGCGGACATAAAGGGCCTTCAGTCTCCCACTGCTGCTTATTCTCTCCTTGTCGCCCCCTTCGGTCACCCTCCCCCCTTCCCTAGCAGCTCTGGGTACCTCTTATGTCCTCCTCTGAATGGCAGGATTGTGCTGCGAGCTGGGGTCAGGTGCAGGAGATGGGAGCAATGAGTCTGTTCGTCCCCAGATGGCCCGTGGGCGCAAGGAGCCGGTTCTGAGCCAGCCCGGATATAGAGAGCAGGGGAGGGCAAAGGGATATTTTCTCTGCTCCTTGTTGAGGTTGAAAGACTCTTGCCCCAGTCTCGGAAACTCCGGCCCTGGGCCTTGCCCGTCGTGTGTTGACCTGTCCCGGACACCCAGAGCTCCAGGCACTCGGCTGGGTGGCTCTAAGGCATTCCCAGGGGGTCGGCTGACTCAGCACCCTGCTCTCTTAGGATCCCCCAGTGGGGGGCGATGTGACAGAATGGGGTTCCCCTAGTAACTGCCCTTTTCCTTCTGTGTTGCTTGCAGATCTAGACAAGCTCCTTTTGGACCTAGAGTCCTTCCTGCTGATCCTGGACCGAGAGAACCTCAGCTACATTGCTCAGGCCAAGAAGAAATCCATCGCTGAGCTACTTTCCAGGTTCCAGAGCCCTCCATGTATGTATCCTGCTGCTGGGGCATAGGTATCCAGAGACAGGTGATGTGCTAATGACCCATGGGGGTGGCTGTATCCTAATAACTCCACAAGAGGGAACCTTTCTGTCGCAGATCAAATTTGTTCCTGCAGCCCTGTCCATTTCCATGGGCTAGGATGACCAGATGTCCCGATTTTATAGGGACAGTCCCAATATTTGGGGCTTTTTAAAATATGGGCTCCTATTACCCCTCACACCCTGTCCTGATTTTTCACACTTGCTGTCTGGTCACCCTACCACAGGCTCTCCATGATCCCTGGAAACTGGGCCAGCCAGTCAAATGACTTCTTTGGTGCTCACCATAGTCCAGCTCTCTGGATCTTTGGTTATCCAGTTTGTCACTCTCTGTAACTTTGCTTACCAATGAGATTGTCCCCTTGGGCCTGCCCAGAGCTGGTTCCATTTAGCCCTTTTTCTTAGCTATGCCTGACCCCGATCTTCTTCCAGCATCCCTGTTATTCCTACGGGTTTGCCCAGTCGTTTTATACCAGCCGATGATGGGGTGTCTGCAAACTGTTCACTCCAGCTCCCAGACTGGAGCGGCTTTCGGCAAAGGAGAATGGTGCATAGTGAATATGAACAAGCCATGGCTGGACTCAGTCTCCAGACCGATCCCCGTCCAGGTCCCTAGAATTTAAGGTTCATTCGGGATTGTCTGGAATCCCCCAGCACCTGCCCGCCGAGTCACCCGACCCCATCCGGAGCAGCAGCCTGATCTCAGAGCTTTTATCCACCACTTGTTTGTGGCGTTAGTCCTGTCACCTCCTGTAATCCTGATCCGCCTCTTTCCCCACAGCAGAGGACGCAGAGTACATGATCATGCGCTGCATCTCGCCCTCCTCTGGGAGCAGCGCCTTCCAAACGCCGGCTGACCTGAGCCCATGCCAAGGTGAGCAGTGGAGTCGGTACCATGTGGGGGGCGTGACAGGAGTCGCACGAAGAGGAGGGGGGGTTCCTAATTATATCTGTCGGGACAGCCCCTGCTGTCAGTGACACAGCTGCAGTGCAGACATGAGCACCCTACATGTGAGATCAGAATCAGGCCGGGTGAGTTGAGGCCAGTAACGGGTTCAGATTTTCTGCCAAATATGCAAAAGTGGCCAGAGATTTCAGTTGCCCTCGTTTGAGACACATGCAGGTACCCAAAGCTTGGCACTCAGAGGTACTGGGCATGTTTGAAACATCGGCCTATGGGATGGTGTCCGGGACTCTCCGCTTTGGCTTCGAAGGTGCTAACACTGTAGCCCGGTGCCCCAGCCTGCGAGGATGCTCACCCCCTCTGAGGGGAGTCTCAGTGCTACCCATTGCTATAGAGAGCCTGGAGCTCTGTGCCCCACGATGGCAACTGCACTGAGTGTGGGCCCAAGCTGCCATTGTGGGTACTCAGCTACTGGCCAGGCCCACTCAGCTGCCAGGCTGAGGGATTTGGGTGCCCAGCTCAGGGAATCCACGTTTGCAAATTGGGCTCTATTAGTGACGCAGACTGAACGATCCCAAATGCTTTGGGGCTGGATCCAGCTTGCATCGGCTCCCACAGAGCTGGATCCGGCTTCTCTAGCTCCAGACACCGGGTCTCGCATGCTCTCTCGAGGATCTTTGGCCCATTCTTGGGCCTGGAAGGTTTGGAGCAGAGCAGCTCCAGCACCCGGGGGCTCCTGGTTGCAGCTGGCACCAGTGGCTAGTTGAAATGATTTTAATTGTTACCTTTCTCAGCAGCAATCTCGTCTCCAGACCCGATGGGAAGGGGAGAGTGTGACTTGCCCGCTGCCAATGGCCAGTGCTCCTCAGGCGGGGTAAGTCTGAATCACTCCAGGTCAGGAAGCACCAAGAGAGGGAGATAGAGATCTCTGTTACCTCTGATGCCCAGGGTGGAGTCAGCGGGTGAGCGCTTTGCAGGGTCCCAGCACCTGCTAAGTGCGTGTGGCAGCGGGAGAGCCTGTCACACTGTGGCTGCCCTGCTGTGCCCACTCCTAGGAGGCCAGCCCCAGGCACGGGAGCATCCCAGCCCCTGGCTGTTGCTGTGACAGGACGTGGGAGAGGGAGACCCGGCACATATTCCAGGCAACACTGTACGTCCCTGGGCTATGGCCCTGCTGCCCGCTCAGCGCAGAAAGAGCGGAGCAGGGAGTGTGGGGAGGAATGTTCCCATGCAGCCTGCCAGCTCTGCATGTCCAGCAGGGCCTGGGATGCGTGAGTGTGTCATTCCTCTGAGCCTCCCCGGGGCTGAGCAGAGTCCCCAGCCCTGGTGGAGAATCCAGACGGGCAGAAACAGGGGCTGTGGGGAGGCACATGTGACCCTCCATTTGTCCCTATAACCGCATCAGTGCTGGCTACAAGCAGGGGCGTGGATTGCGATTGCACCCTCTTGATACAGATGAGAGCGACCGGATCCTGCTCCTGCTGCTCTTGGACTCCAGGCTGACTGTGTAGCTGAGCTCAGAATCCAGCCCAGGGTCTCTAGGGGCAGTGGCTGGGGATTGGGGTGACTGGCCGAGTGTGGGGGAAACGGGCTGAAGGAGAGGAATTAGAGGCAGCGTCAGGGGCTGGGGTTGGAAAGGGCTCAGGGGGCTATGTCCAAGGGTAGGGGAAAGGCCCTGCATGAAGGAGATGGGGCAGGGGTCTGTCTTTTTTTTCTCTCTTGCCCCTTGGCTCCCAGCTACCCCTTGCCATCCTTTGGGCAGCTCAGGATACAGGGGTCATAGTGAGGCCTCCCTATCCCACAGCCCCGGCCTGAGGCCTAGGGAAGGGCCCGCCTTGGCTCCCAGCCTGTGGCAGAGGGAGCCGGGCTTCCCGGCTGCTGGCCTGTCAGGCCCCTCCACAAACAAGAGCAGATGGTTTGGCCATGAGATCATTGGGAAACCGGAAAAGAACAGGAGCGTCGGCAGCACAAACTGGGAGTTTCCAGACTGGGATGTGCAGAGGGCTCCACTCCCTCCCTCCCTGCCACTCCCACCTGCTCAGGTGTCCAGTGGCAGAACCTCAGGGGCACATTTTCTTGCATATGAGGATGTGTTGCAGTGCTTGCAGTATTGGATCTGTTGTACTGCAGAGAGCAAGAGACACGTGGTATGAAGTAGCAGAAGCGGGTGTGCTGCATTGCAGGGGAGGGACACATATTACATGAAGTGCAGCACCGTCTATTGCATGCGCAAGAGAATGCGTTGCATTACATCCAACAGCAGGTGTTGCATTGCATGCAACAAAGCCAAAGTGTAATTTTTGTGGAGAATGGTACATTGCACAGCATGCAGCAGAGGCGTGTTCCATCACATGCTGCCCGGGGTGCACTGCTTTGCATGAAGAGAGGCACATTTCATTGGATGCAGCAGGGGAAGCTGTCCGCTGCATGCGGCTGAAGATGCGTTGCATGCAGCAGAGACATGGTACATTCCCATAGAGTGGTGCAACCTCTGTTGCAAGCAGCAGGATGTTGTCTTGCTTGCATGGCGGGGGGATTGGTTGACAAGATGGCATTTCCCCGTGCTCTGAGCAGACGTGCAGCTCCAGCGGAATTCTACTGCTCTTCCGGATGTGGATGGAAGCAGGCAAATGTGGGCTCCAGATGAGGTAACAGGAGCCGTGGCAGGGGGGAGAGGACCACCTCCCGGGATGCAATTGGCAGGAACAAGAGCGGTGTCCTATGCCAGAGCGCGAGATGCCGCTGACAGATTTCAGAAGCAGTTAATTTGGTAGCTAAACAGCATGAAGGCAGCAGGGGCCGATTAACCGTAGAGGCCACTTTAGGGGCAGTTAAGTTGTGAAGGAAGCAGAAATCCGAGCCACGGGCATCAAAGGCTCTTTCATCTCAGTCCTGTCCAGATGCAGGGCTCCGAGTCGGCAGACGTGCTGCCAAGGAGCAGGGCGATGGCATGCTGGGGGGATCCGTCCTTGCTCCAAGCCCACATCAGCCTGGAACAGGGAGAGAGGGAGCTCCTGAGGTGGAGATTGAGCAACTGCCCAGGAAAGGGGGTATCTTGAGCCTGCCCTTCAGTATGCAAAGGGAGGGCACAGCTCCTGAGACCTCTCCTGAGCCCCCAGGGGACTGGCAGGCAGAGTCCCCCTGACACCCCATGCCCTGATACTGCCTCCCCTGGCTCTGTCGCGCTGAATTCTCCCTGCTCTTTCTAGACAAACCCGTTGGGCATCCTGCCCCACCTCCCTAGCCTGCCAGCTGAGGACTCCTACGAGGAGGCAGAGCCCATCAACCCCAAGGGACATATGAGCCCAGGTAACGAGCCCCATTACACCCCTTCCTCTCCGAAACGAGGTGGGAGCAGCTGGCAGGACATATCAGCTGCAGCATGTGTACACAAGCTGCCCCTCATGTGTCTGTGCCATGCCTGTCGCCCAGGGCCCATCAGCTGCAATGTATGCACATGGGACCCCTCCTCCAACATCTGTGCCATGCCTGCTGCACATCTGCACAGGGCACCCCTGCCGCACTTTGCATGCCTCCAGCTGCTTCCCTTTTGTGGCACCCTCCATGCTTGTGGCACGCCTCCTGCATGCTGTGCTGCCTCTTCCATCTAGGCCGCATGGGCATGGACTGTAAGGTCTCCAAGCCCCGCTCTGCTCCCTGCATGGCTCCCAGCTCCTGCGGCGTGGTGCGCTTCCCATTCCAAGCTCAGAGGCCCCTGGCACTGTTGGGGCAGCCCCTTGCCAACAGGCAGCTCCACTCTTGCCAGGCGCTTGCTCAGCGCCACCCTTCTGCTCTGGGCAGCGGGCGGCGGGGACACAGACAGCAGCCACTACGAGTCGTACGGCGAGGACGAGGACTGCGTGAAGGACCGTGCGCACTACATCCAGTGGCCACCCACCGCCGAGGCTCCTGCTCGCCCCGAGGCCCAACTCTGCGGCTTCCTCTGGAGGAAACGCTGGCTCGGGCAGTGGGCCAAGCAGCTCTTCATCGTCCGGGAACACGCCCTGCTGGTGAGCATTGGGTGGGATGGAGAGGGACGGGAGCACTCACAGGTGGAGACAGCTTCCCTGGGCACGGCCTTTCCCCTGCTGTGGAGGCCGCGTGGGCTGGGATGTGTGCGGGACAGTGCCGGGGGGGGGGGAGGGGGCGGGGAGGGCCTTGGCAACAGGCGCCTGATGGGCGAAGAGTGCAGGGACGTGTAGGTGGGTGCAGGGAAGAGCTGCATTGTAAAAGGGTAGGTGAACTGAAGTGCATTCAGTGCCCTGAACCTGCCAGACCCATAACCTGCAGACCCTGCACCCCCATCCCCCCAACCCTGACCCCCTAAACCCACAGACCTGCAGACCCTGCACCCCTAACCCCCATCCCGCCAATCCTGACCCCCTAAACCTGCAGACCCTGTACGGGGAGGGTCAGGGTTGCAAGTTCCAGTTCCAAGCCCTGCTATCCCCAGACTCGGACCCTTGCGGTCCCCACCCCTTGGCTGAGCCGTGCCCTTTGCCCTGTGCTGCCACAGTGCTACAAGTGTGCCAAGGACCTGCAGCCAGTGCTGGAGCTGGACCTGCGCGGCTGCCGCGTTGCCTACAAGGCCAAGCGCAGCAAGAAGATGCAGCATGTGCTGAAGATCACGGGGGCAGCGGCAGAGACGCTGGTGATGGGCTTCCAGAGCCGCCAGCAGGCCGAGGATTGGAGGAAGGTTTGGAGGTGTTACACCCTGGCAGAGCTGTGCATGGAGGGGGGCCATGGGAGTGGGGAGGGTCAAGAGTGGCCTCTGCCACTGCCTGGGAGCCCCTGAGGTGGACTGTGGGTGGGGGAACAGCTCCTCTCAAGGTGAGACTACATGTCGGGTGAGTCTGCGCTGCCCACTCCCCTCTGCAGGACGGGACGGGCACCGTCCTGTCAGGGCCCTGCGCTGCCCACGCCCCTCTGCGGGACGAGACAGGCACTGTCCTGTCAAGGCCCTGCGCTGCCCACTCCCCTCTGCAAGTGGGGACGGGCACCGTCCTGTCAGCTGGGGCTTGGCAGATAAGTTATGGCCTGGCTCCCCCTGCAGGCCAAGCTGGGTGCTGACAATTGTTCCCGGAAACCTCACAGAGCCGTGGAGAGGTTGCTGTCTGTGGGGCAAGCCAGTGCCCTTTCTTGCCAAGCTGCAGTACGTCCCCACACAGGGTTCCACAAGGAGTTTGCATTAGAGAGGGGTTTGCAGGAGCCATGGGGGCTCTGACCCTCCCAGCAGCGCATTCCCTGCCTTGGAAATGACTCTGCTGTGAGGGGGCTGGGCTCCCGCTGTGCCTGGGGGGCTGGGACCCCCAGCTGCCCCTTCCATGGCTGTAATGCTGTCCCTTTCTTCCAGGTGATTGAGGAGGTGAGCAGCTCTCCTCTCAGCAGGCCTTCTGCCCACAGCTCTCCAGTATTGCCCAGCTCAGAGCAGGGCAGGAACTCACCCCAGGTGAGTAGGTTCCTTAGCCATCTTTAGCCCCTGCTACCGGGGATCCTGGAGTGCTCTCACACCCCGCTCCCCACCCAAGTTAGCATCGTTGTTCCTGTGTTCCAGCAGGGAAACCAAGGCACAGGGTAGTGACTTAACCAAGGTCATGCAGTGAGTCAGTGGCAGAGAAGGGAATAGAACCCAGGAATAACAAATAGGGAGGAACTCATTGAGAATTTGAAAGTAGAAGGCAGCTTGGATGAAAGTGATCATGAAATCATAGAGTTTGAAATTCTAAGGAAGGGTAGAAGGGAGTACAGCAAAATAGAGACAATGGATTTCAGGAAGGCAGATTTTGGTAAGCTCAGAGAGCTGATAGGTAAGGTCCCATGGGAATCAAGACTGAGGGGAAAAACAACTGAGGAGAGTTGGCAGTTTTTCAAAGGGACACTGTTAAGGGCCCAAAAGCAAGCTATTCTGCTGGTTAGGAAAGATAGGAAATGTGGCAAAAGACCACCTTGGCTTAACCACAAGATCTTGCATGATCTAAAAAATAAAAAGGAGTCATATAAAAAATGGAAACTAGGACAGATTACAAAGGATGAATATAGGCAAACAACACAGGAATGCAGGGGCAAGATTAGAAAGGCAAAGGCACAAAATGAGCTCAAACTAGCTATGGGAATAAAGGGAAACAAGAAGACTTTTTATCAATACATTAGAAGCAAGAGGAAGACCAAAGACAGGGTAGGCCCATTGCTCAGTGAGGAGGGAGATACAGTAACAGGAAACTTGGAAATGGCAGAGATGCTTAATGACTTCTTTGTTTCGGTCTTCACCAAGAAGTCTGAAGGAATGCCTAACCTAGTGAATGCTAATGGGAAGGGGGTAGGTTTAGCGGATAAAATTAAAAAAGAACAAGTTAAAAATCACTTAGAAAAGTTAGATGCCTGCAAGTCACTAGGGCCTGATGAAATGCATCCTAGAATACTCAAGGAGCTACTAGAGGAGGTATCTGAGCCTCTAGCTATTATCTTTGGAAAATCATGGGAGACGGGAGAGATTCCAGAAGGCTGGAAAAAGGCAAATATAGTGCCCATCAAATAAAAACAACCCAGGAAACTACAGACCA